TGAATTGCATCCACTGCCCTGGCTTTTGGCTACAGGTTGGGTGGTGAAAAAAAAAAAAAAAAGGTATTTCTACTTTCTAGAAGGAAGAAAAGAAACATACATGCACCTAACTTATAATTCGTATTATTAAAAAGCAATTTTTTTTTAAGTGCATATGTTTTGGTTACCTAGTCCCACTCTGACAAGAATATACCACAAATGGGATGGCTTTAATAAACAGGAGTTTATTCTTACAATTTGGAGGCTTTAAGTCTGAGTTTAAAATGCCAGGTTCTAGGGGTTGGATGAAAGCCCCTCAACCTTGGGCTTCAGCTCTGCCTCCTGCTCCCAGCCCACTGAAGCTGGAAGCTTTCTTCACTCAGCTGCTGGCTGCTGAGGCTGACAAGCCCAAGATTGACAATAAGGCACAGTCCTAATATTACCAAACCACATGGCAGGCCATTAATTCAAGTCCATTAAAAGTCCCAAGATCGGCAGTGAATGGCAGGCTGCTGAACAATTACTCAGCTACATGCAGGGTTCAAGTGTGCCATAAACTAAAGACCATGCCCAAAGCTACTTCCTATATACAGGAAGCAACCATATCCCTAAAGCAGCTACTCAGCTGCTCCAATACATTCCACCATGGAGTTAATTACCAATCTTACAATGAGGAATAACTACATCCAGCTGCCCAGCCACTCAACCAGGCCCAGCCAAGTTGACACACAAACTTAACTACCACAACATACTAGAGATCTCCATTTAATATGTGCCTGCTTTTTTTTTTTTTTTTCCAAAATACCCCTCTGAACTGCTCACAACATTTGAACTTTCTAATTTACTTTTTTTTTTTTTTTTTGGTATACAGTGGGAAAAGAACTCATCAAAGAGAAACATTAAACCCATCTCAATCTAGGTGTCATTATTGAGGTCTCTAGCTCTTTGTGTACTTTGGGATAACAAATATATTGTTGTTATCTCATTTGGATTGGTCTCCAAAACTATGTCCAGCCATAGTTTTGTAGCCCTGGTCTTTCAGGGTGTCCTCTGTACTGTTCTGATGAAAAAATGAGTGGTCTGTTTAGTTCTCACGCACTTTCTTTCTAAACCACTGCTAGACAAAGAGATGTTACAGACAGTAAAAATGAATGACAGAGATAGTCATCAGCATGTTGTTTTAGTCACTATCTTGCAATATCAATTGAGTAGCCACTATTATAAAAACTGTACCTTGTGCTAAAAACTGCTTTTATGTTCTCTAAGACGTTGACTGTGAATGTGACAGATCCTCAGTATAGCCCATAAGCATCCAATAACCATCACTACTCAGCCCAAGTGGGGAGGAATGCAGTCAGAAGTAGAGCCTGACAATGGTCAAAAGTTCTGTAGTATCCACTCTGGCCTTCTGTGCTGATGTTGCAATAAATATAAGTACCTACACACATGCAAGTTACACCAAGTCCTTAGTCTCTGTCCGCTACTCTGTGCACTATCAGAGGGATTAAAGATCTCTACCATTTTTCTTCTTCTCTTTTCTACTGTCCCTACTTAACCAATTCAAAAGCTTTTCAGTAAAGTCTCTTAACAGCTTGAAACGCAATGTAAAGAGCCCTCAGAAGTAGTTGTATAGGATAAGTCAGCTAACATCCTAGACCTCTGAGATGGTTGAAGGAGTCTTAGGTAACTAGGTATGTGAATCAAGTGAGGAATACAGTGGCTTTGGAGCATCAACCTTGCTGAAGGGGAGGGAAGAGAAGTGGAAGGTGATGAAAAATGACACTGGTGTGTTCATAAATTAGTTGTCTTCCTTCATTCATTTACTCAACCATTCATTTCACAAATACTTATTGGGTACCCACAGAGTATTATGAACTGTCAAATTCCTGATGATACAGTTCTGAACAAGATAGACTTAGTCTTACAGTACTGATTTAAGTACTTTGAAGGTGAAAATGATTCAGTAAGAATACATTCCTCAGCCTAGGGAGTTATGGAAGTTTTTAAAGAAGGGAAGCTAACACTTAATGGATGAGCACCCATCCAGTGTGCCATGAGGAAGGAGTGTGGTCAATATCAGTCCAGACCATCTGAACCACCTAAAGACTACTTCAAATCCCTAAGTATTGGGTTGTATCATTTGAAATTGTCAAAAAATGGTATTTTTTTTTAAGCAGAACATCTACTACTCGCTTATCGACTAAATTTATATATGATGTATTTCACTTATGACAATAGTAAATAAATAGTCTACAGTTCAACTATATTGTCCATAAGCAACATATGTTTGGCAGTCCCAAATGCTGAGATGTGAGTTAAGAATAATGCTGGTCATGATTCTCAGAGGATTAGCAGTTATGTAATGATATAATTTGGCAGTTATGGAATAATGTATTTGGAAGTTATGTAATGATGTTATATGGCAGTTATATAATGATGTAATCATCCTCCATTTGCAGATTTTCACATAATGACCTGGTCTCTGGAACCCAAATATTTCAATAAGTAAGCAATGGGTGTAATTTCATATGGTTCAACTTAATACCTTCCTGGATGACATCACTTGTCCATTTCCCCTCCTAAATGTTTTAAAACACATTTCTTTCCAGAAAAAATTCTCAGAGAAGCATGAGAAAATGTGAGTCAGTTGGCTGAGTGGTGAAGTGGGGGTGGGGGTGTTGATGGATGACACTCAAGGGTACACAGAGGCCGTAGGGAAGAGTGCTGTGAGCCAATGTAAGATGCTTTGGTTTTGTTCTTGCACAATGGGGAGCCACTGGACAGTTTTAAGCAGGGAGTATAATGACTGGATTTGTATTTTAAGATGCCCACTCGAGACTGCCTGGAGAATGAAGTGGAAAGAGCAAGACTGAAGGCAGAAAGGCAGTAAAAGCCACTCCGTGTTCATTCAGCAGAGAGATGGGCCATTGTTAAAGTAAATGAGCTAGAGAGATGTTAAAGGGCGAGAGACAGGACTCAGTAACTAGCTGTCAATGGGAGATGAGGGAGAGGGAACTCAACATGCATCCATGATTCTAGCATAAGCAACAAGATGGCGGTGGTGGGGCCATTCGTTGGACTGGGTTCACATGGGAAGAGGCTGGCTAGGAGGACAAAAGGACAAGTTCAATTCTGGACAGGATTGCTTAGTCAGTTAGATCTTCCTCTAATCCTCTTAGAAGAGAGGGAAGATTAGAAGAAGTAGAATGTGAAGGGATAACACTTACAGACTGCCAACTGTGTGAGTGTTTTACATATAATATTTAATTCAGTCCACATATTGGCCCTGGAGAGTAGATAGTCTTATTCTAGCTGTGTAGTTAATGACACTGAAGGTAGAGTTTGTCTGAGGGTATGCAGTTTGTAAGTGGTGAACTACAATTGAAATGGATAGCTCTCCACCAATACCTATGTGTTTACCATTACAACTCACTGCCCAATAACCTAATAGAACTCATGATGTATGTGGGGATTATAAGGAGCCTCTGGTAACTCAGTGGTTAAAGTTTTGACTGGTAACCAAAAGGTCTGTGGTTTGAACCCACTAGCTTCTCTGCAAAACAAAGATATGGTAGCCTGTGTCTGTAAAGATGTAAAGACAGCTTTGGGAAACCAGGACAGTTCTACTCTGTCCTATAGGGTAACTACGAGTAGGAATAGATTTGATAGCAATGGGTTTTTGGGTTTGGTGGTAATTATGGCTAAGAAATGGTAATTGGAGTTAAGATCAAGAGGGATAAGGCAGGAGTATACCTCAGAACATGATGAGAAAAGAGAAAGGCCAAATTCAAATCAGAGCACTTAGCCTAGATAAGTATTGTTCTACTTTCTGAGGAAAGTCCTTATATGGTACAAACACTTCACACACTTGGCTGCTAACTCAAATATGGGAGGGTCAAGTCTACCCAGAAGTGCCTCAGAAGAAAGGCCTGGTGATCTACTTCCAAAAAAATCAGCCATTAAAAACTGTATGGAACACAGTTCTAGTCTGACACACATGGGGTCACCATCAGTAAGGATCCACTTGACAGTAACTGATGTTGGTATTTTCTGAGAGAAAGAAGCACTTTCTGAGAAACCTACTTCTTACCTGCATGTTTCTTTTCTACTAATCCTTCCCAAATTGGGGGAGGGGGTGTTTATCTTGGTTTAAAGGACTTGTTTCCCAAGCATTAGAAACAAATACTATAGTACTTCCTTATCCTGTACAGCAGCACTCAACAATGTGGTCTCTCTTAACATCTCTTAAGAGAGAAGTAATATTTTAGCCAATGACATTATCTTATCCAACAAAAGCTCAGGGCATGACGTATCTAAATCATTACTTAAGTATTTCCAAAATAGTAGCAAAATAGTCTCCATATAACTAAATGACTCTAAGGGAAGAAAGCATATATTACATTCTAGTACTTGTTTCCTTAATTAGAAACAGATCCCAGTGGCTGGAATTTATTTTCCTAAATACACAGCCACAAAAACCAGAAACATTTTGACATGCTACAGCATCCCTAACATTTCTCAAATCTGAATTCCTAATTGGGTTAAAGAAAAAAAAAAAAAAAGCAACCAGGAGTTTTCACGCTGGTTTTGAGTCAAGATTCAAAACAGAACCTAAGACACGCATTTTTATATTATTCTAAGGCATGAATAACCAGGTTTAAAATCTCTACAACCCCCTCAACCACTGAAAACAAAGGGAAAACAGACCAACACATGAATTCCAAATTTAACATGCACAGAAATTCTTCTCCTTCTATGGAACATGAAAACTATCTTGTGATCTCCTCAAGACCCTTAATCTACTTACTTTTTAAAAGATGAGTCAAGAGCTGGAGATATTTGAATAACACCTGTTTCTTCCCTCACAGAATTCAAAGGACTCTCTTTTTTGTGCTTTTCTTTCTTAATTTATCATTGAACTAGACAAATCATTTGTGTTGTTGTTAGCTTAAACTAAATTCTGTAATAATAATGAATTCAGACACTCCATGGAGTCCATAATAAAGAATTATTATCCTTACCTGTGCAGTTTATCCTCAAGCATTTCAATGTACTTCACAGTATTTCCCATCACACTTGTTTCTGCAAAACAAACATTCAAAGGTGATGGAACTACAATCAAAGACTGAAAAAATCATAATACAACTAAAAGCTAAAAACCAAATGATAGTGGTCAAGTCAGTACTGATAATAATATCTTGTGTTTGGAAGTGCAGCCCCTGAGTGGTGTAAACAGTTAATGCACTCTGGTGCTAGCTGAAAGTTTGGACATATGAGTCCATCCCAAAGTGCCTCAGAAGATTGCCTGGCATTCTGCTTCTGAAAACGCAGCCATTGAAAACCCAGCAGAGCACAGTTCTCCTCAGACACCCATGGGCACACCAGAAGCTGGAATTAACTTGAGGATAACAGTTTAATGCTACAAAAATAGTATAATGCATGGAGTGGTTGCATGGAGCAACCAGCAGAAAAGGATTCTGAGGCTTCGAGTGTTCACTGCAGGAATCAGCATGAAGCCTGGGGACCACTAGGATTTGTGCCACCCTTGCTTTATTCTTCCAAAGACAGTCCACTCATAGTCTATCATGTATAACAATATGTATGCCCATTCCAAGGAAAGGGGATCCAACAGAACGTGGAAACTAACAAACAATATCATTCATATCACATGCAAGTAAAATCTTGCCAAAGACAATTCAAAAAGTTGGAGCAGTATATTGACAGGGAACTTTCAGAAATGCAAGCTGGATTCAGAAGAGGACGCAAAATGAGGGATATCATTGCTGATGTCAGATGAATCTTAGCTGAAACAAAGAATACCAGAAAGATATATACCTGTTTTATTCATTGTACAAAGGCATTTGACTATGTAGATTATAAAAAATTATGGATAACATTGAGAAGAATGGGAATTCTAGAACAATTAATTGTGCTTAAGAGGAACTGGTACATAGATCAAGAGGCTGCCATTCAAACAGAACAAGGGGATATTGAATGATTTATAATCAGGAAGGGCATGTTAGGGTTGCATCTTTCCACCATACTTATTCAATCTGCATGCTGAAAAAATAATCCAAGAAGCTGGACTATATGAAGAAGAATGTGGCATCAGGATTGGAAGAAGAGTCATTAACAATCTGTGATGTGCGGATGACACAACCTTGCTTGCTAAATGTGAGGAAGACTTGAAGTACTTGCTGATGAACATCAAAGACTACAGTCTGCGGTATGGGTTACACCACAACATAAAGAAAACAAAAATCCTCACAACTGGACTAGGAAGCAACATCACAGTAAATAGAGAAAAATTGAAGTTGTTAACTATTTCATTTTAATTGTAACACTCATGGAACCAGCAGTCAGACATAGTATTGCACTGGGCAAATCTGCTGCAAAAAAAACCTCTTTAAAATGTAGAAGAGCAAAGTTATCACCTTGAAGACTAACTGCACCCAATTCAAGCCACAGTATTTTCAATCACCTCATATGCATAAGAAAGCTGGACAATGAATAAGGAAGACCAAAGAAGAGTTGATGCTTTTGGATTGTGGTGTTAGCAAAGAATACTGAAAATACTATGGACTGCCAGAAGAACAAACAAATCTATGCTGGGGGAAGTGCAGCCGGAATGCTCCTTAGAAGCTAGAATGGCCAGACTTGGTCTCACCTATTTTGGTCATGTGGTCAGAAGGGACCAGTGCTTGGAGAAGGAGATCATGGTTGATAAAGTAGAGGGTCAGAGAAAAAGGGAAAGACCCTCAATGAGATCAATTGACACAGTAGCTACAACGATGGGCTTAAGCATAGCATGGATTGTGAGGATGGCGTAGGACAGGGTCATACTTTGTTCTGTTTTACACAGGGTCACTATGAGTTGGAAGTGACTTGATGGCACCTACCAACAAATGCTGGTGTGGGAGTTTAGATGTCATGATATAGTTCTGTAAAAACAGTAATTTATTCACTGGTTAATCTTGCATAAGCACTACAAATTCAGGATGTCCTAAGTAGAAATGTTATGTTTTACATCTTATATTTATATGCCAGACACTGTTCTAAGCATTTGGGATAAATCAGCAACAGAAAATATAAAGGTCCCTGACTCTGTGGTGCTTATGTTCTGGTAGGGGAAGATAATAAACTTAAAATCCTACATTGCTGTTGTTGTTATGTGCCATCAAGTCGAACCCGACTCATAGCAACCCCTCCTTGGATGGAAGTAGATTGCCCAACATAAAATCCAATAGAATATTAGAAAGTGGGAAATACCATGGGGTTTAAAAAAAAAAAAAAAAGGCAAGAGAAGGAAATCAAAATGGCACTGTAGCATAATTTGGGTAGACATCACTGAGAAAGCATTATTTGAGTAAACACTTGAAGATGTTGGAGAAAGTGAGTCAACAGACATCTTGGGGATGAGGCAAACAGGCAGAAAGATCAACAAGTATTCAAATTCTGGGGCAGATACATGTTAGAGCATCATATTCCATGAGATAAAGAGGTAAAGTCAGACAAAATATCCAGGTTCTGCTCATGTAGGCCACTGTAGAAATCTGAATTTTCCAAAAATGACCAAAACAATATTTCTAGTCCCACATTCTTTTTCAGTACCTTGCCACTCCCTGTCAAGGGGTAGAGTACATTTCCCACCTCTTGAAACTGAACTGGCTGTGATTGCTCCAATCAATTCAATATGATGGAAGGGAAGCTATACAACTTTCAAGGCTAGAATACAGCTTCTACCTCTTACTCTTGGATACCCAGCTTTAATGTTTTGAGGGAGCCTAAGCCACATGGCAGGCAGATGTTTGGCCCATAGGCCATCTGAGGTCTCAGCATATAGCCTGTATCAACTGCCATATATGTGAGTGAGTGAGGTTTCAGATAATCCAAACCCCCAGACTTTAAGTCTAAGTAACCCACGACATTATGGAATAGCAACAAGTCATCCTGGCTCACAGAATGTATAGAAATAATAAATAGTAATTTTAACTCATTAAATTTGGGGATGATTTGTTATACAGCTGTAGTAACTGGAAAGCCACTGTCAGGATTTTGACTTTTGTTCTGAGTGAAAGAGAAAACACTTCCCAGTGTCTGACTTATGCTGCTGTGTTGAGACCAGACTGTAGGATAGAAGCAGAGATAACTGGGAGGCTACTGCAATAATCCAGGAAAAGGCCATGATAACTTAACCCAGGGTGTTAGCAGGAGTGGATGATGAATAGGCAGATTTTGCTGTTAATGTTGTTAGTTGCTGTTGAGTTGGCTCTGATTCATGGTAACATTATGTATAACAGAATGAAACTTTGCCTAGTCCTGTTCCAACTTCATTATCATAGGTATGTTTGAGTCCATTGTTGCAGCTATTTGTGTTAGTCCATTGAGAGTTTCCCTTGTTTTCACTGACCCTCTACTTTACCAACCATTATGTGATTTTCTAGCAATTAGTCTTTCCTGATGACATGTCCAAAGTAAGTAAGTCGAAGTTTGGCCCATCCTCACTTCTAAGGAACATCCTGGTTTTATTTCTAAGATGGAGTTGTTTGTTCTTGTACAACAGGTAGGTTTTAGATATATTTTAAAGGTTGAACCAACATGATTCCATGATAAATTGAGTGTAGGTGTAAGAAAGAGAGAAGTCAAGAATGACCACAAAGTTTTGGCCCAGAGTCAGTGAGAAGAATAGAGCTGCCATCAACAGATGAGGAAGACTGCAGAAGGAAGCAGTCTGGGGAGACAAACAAGAATTCATTTTGGATACACTAAATTTGAGAAGACATCCAGTATAGACATTAAGTATGAAGCCAGACATATGAGTGTGGAGTTCACTGAATGGTGTGGGTGACATTTGGAAGCCGTCAATGTTGGAAGCATTGAGGCTGGATGATGTCATTAAGGGAATGTGAGTAATATAAGAAGCCTTTGATGAGCATATATAACTATGCACCTTTCCCCAAAAGGAAAAAAAATGGGTAGAACCTCCCATAAGGAAAATATAGCCATATTCTTATGTTCAAAAATAATCCAGATGCTTACCATATTGATGATCTTGTTATGAACCTAAATGCCAACTACTTTGCAAGTATCTCAAGACCTAGTTAGAGACATGCTGGTTTTCTCCAGAAGCTGCAAGTTTTATATGTTTTCTCACTTGTTTAGAGGCTGCCATTTAAAGAGGATGCTATGTTTGAAATATTATCTCATCTGGGTCTCCAGCCTACCTCCCAGCCAAGCAGTTTAAAGATATTTTGCACATATTCAGTGGATTGGCCCACAGCCTTCAAGAGAGGTTTTAAACTTCTTAAATATTATGCCCACAGACAAGGAGTACTAAGAATAAAGCAGCCTCTACTAGTGGTTTCCTCTCTTTCTTTCCTTACCATCTTAGATCCCACAGAGCAGGGGCTCTTGAGGAAAGTGATGGTGAGGTAGGATCCAGGGGTCAAAGAGGGAGCCCCTGGCAGAAATGATGTTCCAGGGCTGAAATGCCCAGGAACAAAGAAGGCTAGGGGATTCTAGGCCTCCTGATTATAAAAAGGCAGGAATACTTCCCCTTCTCTCCATTTGCTAAGGGAATCTGATATCCAAGTTTAATCCATAATATCAGAATTAGTTTTGTGACTAGAATTAAACAAAAAGTCATTGATAATCAAATGTTAAATGCCATGAAAGTGTTTAGCAAAAGTCATGGCACAAACACAAATCAATGTTACAGAGATTTAATATGGGTCCTATATCATACAAGGTACTATGCTAGGCACTAGTTAAATATGAAAAGGAACATGGCTTCAAGGGATACAGAGATAGCTGTGGGACCGGACTCTAACACCAGTTTCTCACTGGAACACATACACAGCAATATTTCACATAAAGATACATCAAAACCAATAACCCAAAAATGTCCCTACCAATCAAATGGGAAAAAAATGTAAGCCACCCAGCAACACCCTATTTAGCATAAACACCAAAGACAGGAGAATGTAATGTGAAAGTAAGTTCAATTAGATTTTACTGTATTATGTTCTCCGTTTGTATAATGAAAGGACAGTAGTATTTGTCATGATAATAGTACAGGAAAT